TGCATCGCTTCTAGGAACAAGTGCCTTACTAGTAGTAACAAGAAGCTTTTAATTTAAATTCTTCCAGGGCAACATTATCAGATGAAGGAGAGGACGCGGTGGAGCCGAACGCGGACGAGGTGAGCAATACCTTACGACAGCAAGCCGCCGGAGGCGCGACCGCCCGCTACCGGGCACCACCGGTTCAAAGGACGGTTTGACGGTTTCAGAATTTCAGGCTAATCTAGGGACTGTATTATTCTGGAAGAAACAATTAGGTAGTCTGCATGTTTCAAGTCTTTCTATAGAACAATTCCACAATCCCTGATAGGTCCGTTGTGACGTTGAATTGTTCCTGCTGCCACAACCTGGAAAACCACTCAAATTTCTGAATCAGCCGAGCGCTTTTGAGATTTATGGTCAACTCCTATACTCAAGACACGAGAAGACATTGATCCTACAAAGGCTTCACTGAAACATGTGACTGATCAGCTGTCGACAGGATATGTGGCCGATCGCCCAGACATGCGGAATGCCGATGATGACAGCAAGGATCGGGATGAGTGACTCAGCGAAGTCTCCAAAGTTGTGGAGACGCTTTAGAAAATATACCCTTTGCTAGTAGATCCTAGTAGTACGGCCAGGAGCCCCTACTAGCGTCCTTGCTCCTAGTAGTACGGCCAGGAGCCCCTAGTAGCGTCCTTGCTCCTAGTAGCGATGCCAGGAGCCCCTAGTAGCTTCTTGTTCCTCAGTGCCACACAACCTGCCTTACATTGACAGTAACGGTGCGAGCTTGATGCTAGTGTTGTAGGAGATGCCAAGTGAATCAGGGTATTGCCTTTCTTCGGCAAGAAACAAGCCCCTTCAAATATTTGCCAATCATGTGCATGATTGGCAAGATGGAGGCTTCACAGTCAAGGGGGTCCAATGACCAGGGGTTACCAGGAAGTAAGCCGCAGGTCTGAATACTCCATCACCACCACTTCAGGGTCGCAACAGGGGCGATTGCGAAGAGATTTTGGTCAGCCGGGCAAAGCGAAGCTCAAGCAAATCAAGTAGTGAAGATTGAGACACGTTGTGCAGATTCTGGTGACCACAAAGGGTACCTTCGGCTCCATGGGGCGATTTCCTACACTTTTGATCCGATTCAACGAACATTTTGCCGGAGGAGTTTGCAGTGAAGATCCAAAAGCTTCCTGGGATGAAGCTCCTTGGTTGATGGGGCCAGGCCATGGTTCTGAAGGGTGTGATTTCTATCAATGCTATGTAGAGGAGAAGATGTGAGTCGCTTTTCAATCCATTGAAACGTTGAAAAAAAAGAAAGAAGCGATGGCCCCCCTTCACAATCGATGCCCTACCAGAACATGAAGGAAATACATTGTCCAAGTGTACTTGTTTGACATATGTGTTTCTTTTTTTCGAGCGATTACAAGAGCTTCTTGATCTGAAAGGTAATTCCACATGAGAGAAGCAACAGTCATCTCTTGTGGGGCCGTAACTCGGGGATTTGGAGCGACACCCTGATCGCCGAAGCGATACCTGAAGCGATGCCCTCATGCCAGTCCATCACTTGCCCACTTAAACATAGGGTGGTTTGCAACCAACAAAGATGGTGCGATAGCAACTCGGTGAATGCTCTTAGCTGCTTGCAAAGCTCTTCTACCGTCAGCTGAGCTTTGCTGTTGCCTTCGACTCAAGTGTTGCCTTCGACTCAAGTGATGTGATTGTTTGTTTTGTTTTTTCTCTCCTTTGAGAGCTCATGCTCATGCTTACACTTGTTTGGTTGAAGCCTGCCTTTACTAACTACAAGAAGTTGTCCTAATTGCTGTGCCTCCGCCCCCCAATCTATGTGATGGCATAAGATTGAACAAGGAGCGATGACAGCCGCACATGTGTCTATTCTTCCCCTACTTGCTCTATCTTGATTACTCTGGTCCAGTGGTTTGCTTGCTACATCTTAATTCTTCCCCTTACTTGTGTTTAAAGCTGCTTTCTGTTCAACGAGAGAAGTTATTTTTCGACCAATGGTGGCTATTTTCACTCGGTTTGTCCGGGCGGTGCAACATGTGCTGACCCGCCGTTGAATAAGAATGTTGAAGAGATCAATACGTTTCAAGATCTCAAACTTGAAATGAGCAGAGCGTGAAGTTTGTGTCAACTCATGTTCCGAACTGTTATGTAGTTCATTTCTGTTTGGGGCAACTGAGGTTGGGCCTGGAGTGTGTTCAGTTCGTGCTGACCTCGGGCGAGTGGGTGAGGTAGCACGAGGCACCCGGAAGCCACATGTTTTGCATTTTGTGTCTCTTCTGAAATGCAGGAATTCTGCTAGACTCTGACTGTGTAGTCATGTAGCCGTGTAGTCAGGGTTTTCAAAGACTAAGAGGTGCCTAGTAGCCTCTAGCTGCACAACACATGGTGGATGTGGGTGATGTTTCACGATTTTTCGCCTAAGGGGGTTACGACTTGATTCCTGGTCATCCTGAGGAAGGGGAGTTGGTGGTCCAAGGCATTGCCGAAGGCCGTGGGCGGATGCGGGAAAACCTGGCTTGGGCACTTGTTACTAGAAGCGATGCACTTGTTCCTAGTAGCGTCCTTGCTCCTACTAGTAAGGCACTTGTTACTACTAGCGTGGCACTTGTTCCTAGCTTCTTGTTACTACTAGTAAGATCCCATTTCGAGGGGTCGAAGGCCTCGAGTGATGTGGATCCCATGGACTCGCTGTGGATCTGACGGTGTTGAAAGGAGCCGTCCGATAACTATATATAGACTATATACGCTAGTAGTAACAAGTGCCACGCTAGTAGTAACAGGTGCCTTACTAGTAGTAACAAGGTTCGCTACTAGGAACAAGTGCCTTACTACTAGTAACAATAAGAATATAGACTATATACTCTATATATATATATATGAGCGACGGACAAAATTATTGGTTGACTTATTTAGTCACGGCATGACCCTAAACCTATGTTGAGGGCTTCGTTTCTGTGGAAAACGATATGGTCCCCACCAAAAACGGTAATCTTGTTAAGACGTACTGTAGTGGGTACAAAGATTTTTGTGGTTACAATATATTATTGCATTTGCATGTTTATTTGAGCATGTTTGAGCTAAACCGATGGGCGCAACTTTTCGCCAATGATAACCCCAGACAACTTCCCAAACGATAATCCAAACGATAAGCAAACGATAACCTAAATGTCACGCCAGTCACTCCGTAGACCTACTTCTCCACATTACTAGTGACTAGTGTTTGTTCATCGGCCGAGCTACTAGGTCCCCGCTTATGTGTTGTAATCCTTGCACAGCCCAGTGCCACAAGAACCCAAGTGCATAAATCAAGTGCTGTGCCATTCCTGTGCAGAAAGCACTGTAAGCCTCTAAGACTCTAATCTGAGGTTGTGAGTTATATTTTGTGTTTTATGCTATGCTAACTGCAGTTTGGAGAAGCATTGGAGAACGATATGGACCCCACCAAAACGATAATCATGTCAAATGGTATTTGGCTACACAAGTAATTTTGTCCGCTGCTCATATATACGATATATATATATATATCCTTGCAGACTCAGGAGATTGAGATGTGGATGACAGTTGATCAGATCTGCTTGCGTCAAAACAGTGTCTTTCAGTTACTCCCAAACAGTCTCAAACTTCACTTTTGGGGGAATCATGACCAACTGGGGCTAAACATAAGACACGCGACATGTTGATTTCCAATTCTGGTTCCTCGATTGATGGCTTTTTCAGGATGTGAAGGTTTATACAGCATGTGATGCAGCCATGGCCACTATGCATCCATGTGAGGTTCACCGATCTTTTGAAGACCAACTTTGCAGGTCGGCGTTGCCCTTTATCGTGATGCAGGCACGCATGTGCCGGCGTTTTCGTCAGCGTGTGTTCGTGCAGGCATGGTCACCGAAGAGTGGAACACCAAGAATCCCTTCCAGGCCATCCAGGTCAGCACCGTTGCAAATCGTGTCGATGCGTTGAGATGGTCATGTTCTCCCTGCAGCCCATGTCGTATCTACATGTCCAAGGAGATACGAAGAGAACAAATCTTTGGGGAGTACAGACTTAGCTTAACCGATTTGAAAAGCGACTACAGGGGTGGCCTTCACAAGCATGGCCTAGGGTCCGTCCGTGTCATTTGTTTGACATGGTTCTATTTCAAGTTTTGACCACCCACCGTACAAACGGCCAAGCAGACTTCCATGCAGCAAACGGCCAAGCATGGGCCTTCACTTACAGAAGGACTTGCTGCCAGATCAGTAGATCAGTCAACACTTTGAAAAGCATCATCGCATTGTCGTCATTGTTAGTTCTTCTGAGTGCACATTGATCCTGACCCACTGGGGATTCAATGCGCACTGTAGGTGTTTGGCCCTAAATGCATACAAAGCATTGGTGCTTTTTCCACGTGAGGTGGGTGATGTGGTCCGCCAAGTGAATCAGCTAAGAGGTGCCGGTGCTACAGGGTGGCTGGCGGGATGGAGAGCCGGTGGCCACACATTGGCCCAGGATGCGGTGGTTTTTTGTTTGCAGCGTTTGGTTTGGTCATGCTCCATCTCAAGTCAAACCCGATTTGAGTCAAAACTTTTGATTCCCTCCAGGTAGGGAAAACAGTCAATGCTTGCGAATAGTCCATCAGTCCACAAATGGCAAGTGAAGCCAGTCAAGAGAACTCAAAATAACTATCTCAGACAGTAGCCTCCCAAAGGACGAGCAGAAATGCAATCCCCCCGAAGCTTCAACCTCTGAAAGACGGAACTTTCCTATGGTAAGCTGGATGAGGATTAAAAGCATGGCCTCCAACCTAGCGGTGGCCTCCAACCTGGGTGAGCACTAGCTTCTCTAATAAACTTTCTGAGGTCCCCGGTGAAACTGTGAAACATTCCTTGCATCCTCCGTGACAGCCGCCGTAGAAAGGTGACTCCAAGAAGATGCTCTCAGAGTTGAGGCACATGGGCATTTGGGTTTGTGGGGCGTTCTCTGAGGAAGTTCAATCGGAAAAAACTCGCCTTCCTTTCCCCAACTTTTCAACTCATGTCGGCCTTTTCAGCGAGTCGTTGGACGTTCAACGCTACCAAATATGCACCTCGAGCACCGACCCAATCCCGCCGTGACCGGCCGTGACCCAATCACGCGTCGCGCGAGGAACGCCCTGGTCCTGAGCCTGAAATTGGAGCATTGCTCCCGAGAGATCCCTGACATCGAGGAGCGGTGGCCCGGTCGGTTCGCGGAGCGGTTCGCCCTTGGAGCCTTGGAGTGAGAACAGATCATAGGATTTCTATATAGTCTCCTGCTTGTGCAAACGCACCTGGAGTTCACCTTTTAGTAGAAGGGACAAACAAAGCACATTCAGTCAGCCAAGCGTGATTGCCCAAGCATTTTGCTAATTACTAGGAGAAGATGTATCCATGTTGCCTTTGTGGCCAGGCCATGAGTTTTTTCCATGCACTCCTGGCAAGACCTACAAAGACAGATATTTTTGACTGGTGGTTCAGTCTAAGAACGAGCGGGGTGGTTCACAGGTGTCAGGAATCTTGGAGGAGGATGTAACTTCACTTACAGTAGTTCAAAAGTTCAAACAGAACCGTGGTCCAACTCTCCAGAGTGCAAAGTGCCACAGAGGAGTCATCGAAGCAATCCCAAGACCCTAAAAACTTTAAGCCGGTGTTTTGGCTTCACTTTAACTCCAGAACTCCCATGTTACGGTGGAGGCCATCGCTATTAGGTTGGAGGCCATTGCCAGTAGGATGGAGGCCATTAGTAACAAGAAGCTAGTACGAAAGGGCATTGCTACTAGTAGCAAGGGCGCTACTAGGGGCGCTCCTGGCCTTACTAGGAACAAGGACGCTACTAGGAACAAGTGCATCGCTTCTAGTAACAAGTGCCTTACTACTAGGAACAGGAAGCTACTAGCAACAAGGTTTGCTACTAGGGGCTCCTGGCATTCCCTACTAGTCGCAGACCGAATCCGACGTCCGAAGTGCTCCAGGAGCCGAAGTTCCCGCGGGGGCCTGGGGAAGACGGATATTCCGCGGGGTCGAGTGTCAGTGAAGAAGCTGGCAGGTACAGACTATCCGGGCAGGCTTTCATGTTCATCAGACTACCTGCTCATTAGATCTTAATAGACAAAATATATAATTAGATTTGTTTGAGGAGTGCACTACATCCTTTGATATCTTCCTGAAAAATCTTTTCTTAAACTGTTGGGAGCCACATTCCATGCGGCTAGCGCCTGGTCTTGAACTTATGAGGATAGCGGCGATGTGTGTGGATCATTGATCATATGTTCTTCTAAAGGCAGGGCTCATGTATTCATTCCAAGTTGGGATGATATTGATTTTCAACGCCCTTTCAAGGGCCAGGCTTCAAGCAAATTGACATATTATCCCCCCACTCCAAGCGGCTGGGTGAGTTTTCTTGAGTTGTTGGTTTGGTCGTCACGTTTGGTCGCAGGTTTCATCCTCCCACAATGCAGACTTCAAAAATTGGATTCCATTTTTTACCCAGCCCTAAAAGGCCCAGTGCGGTCATGTTTTGTCGGGAAAAACTGGAGGTCCTGGAGGAGGACCGGCGGTGCGCTGCTGCGATTTCATCAACGTTTGGAGCTGGAGGCAGCTGATGGAATTGGGGAGACCTGATAGCGAGTGATCCGGTGGGAGCTAGTGAAAGAATATACACATACCTTGACCCTGATCAAAAAAATACTTTAAGAAGAAGACCTGAAGGAACCTAATAGTGATGGACTCCAACTTATGAAAGGAAGAAACAAAAGGAGAAACGGAAATGAGTCGAACAGGCGAAAAGAAAAGAAGAAACGACTCGCTTCCACAGTGCTTCCAAGTCTCACAGGCGGCGCTGATGGATCAAGCCTGCGCCATCGCGGCCATCTCCAGGATGGTGAGTTCAGACTCTGGCGACATTGTGATCGCTTGGTGTTTGACCTGAATTGGGCCATTGAGCCCTTGCTGTCGATCATAGCACAATTAGAGGTTTGATCCTTTTGGTTCGGCTGTGGTCGTGTTCTCAAGTCAGACAAAGGCCCCATTGGCCACATGTTGAACAAAAAGGACGTCAAGTCATTCGACCAAAGTTTTAGGGCACAAGATTTTGGGGGGTGGGTTGAGGTATATGTAAGATGTGTTGTGTTTTTCCACAGCAACATAGTCCTTCAAAACTTGGTTTTTGTCCATGGATGTCAATGGGAAACTTGGGATGATCCATGTTCTTTTTGCGCTCCAGATGGATCAATGTGGGATCAAGGTGGTGAAGGTAGCTTGTGGAGCTGAACAAGAAAAAAACAGAGAAAGGAGAGACATATGGGTGGATGAAGGACATGCTTTTAACTTCTTTCAAGGCTTCCAAGTGGGGACTTCTTCAAACGGAACCACAGTGGCACCCCTACACCGGCTGGGAAGCCAGACATGCGGGGCGGATTGAACTCATGTTTGGGTTTCCTGCCCTTGCTGCGCCGCAGGAGACACGAGCGGGCAGATTTGGAGCCAAAGGTTTGGGAGGCTTCGCAGAATTTGCCAAGTTGCAAAGTGAGGTGAATTGGGTTCTTGGACGGATGGATGAGGTCGGAGATCAAAGTCTGTTGTGGCGCAGTTTTAGGATATGTTGCTTGTAGGTGGTTGACAGGAATTGTGACACAATCTGGACAATTTGTTGTGCCAATTTTGCTTTCTGCTCAGTCAAGAGCCTGCATTATCCACATATTCATATGCGTGTGACATGGAGGAGCACATCTTAGGTTTTGTTCCCAGTGTTTAAGTCGTGAAAGCGCTAGAAACAATTTGGCAAACACTCTTCTCAGTATTTCTCAGACATTTTAAGCTACTAGGCGGAGGCCATCGCTGCTAGGGTGAAGCTACTAGTCAAAACCCACTCCCAAGCAGAGTCCATGGTCCTTGATGATGGCCGTGTGTGTCCTCAACTGCAGGCGGCCTCAGCATGGAACCTTGAGAGCTTTATGTTCTTCGAGGATGACGTTGACGGACGCGGCGTTCATGGACGGTCGTTTGGCGTTCTGATTCTCTGCGGTCGTGGGATGGTTTGCATAGAAGTACAGTTTTGACAGTTTTAGTTTTTTTCCTAATGAAGGAGGACAACCAGCCTGGATTGGTTGTCCTTCCGGTTCCCTAAGAATGTACAATTAGGGGTCTTTTAGTTTGCATTTTCCGCACGTCCATGTAGGTAGTGGACACAGACTGTTGGTGGATAGCCTTTGCTGCATCTGCATGCCTGAGATATCCCTGGGTAAACAGATCACAAGAAAGAGAAGCTTCACCATTTGTACCAGTTAGGTTCAATTGGCGGATGTTGTGGAGTGTGCTGCTAGTCTGCGGCACAAGTACGAAATGCTTGGGGTGGAGGCATTTTGCAAGACATGATTGCTTTTGCCGTGTTTGGAGGATATGGTTCCCTTTTTGCAAGTTTTTCGTCCCCAAAATTAATCCCATTTGCTGCTTCGTTTTTGGAGACCGTTGTGTTTAACATACGATCCCCTTGGGTTTGGCATCTTCTATGCGCTTGGAGGATTACAATTGTGCTGGAAGATCGTTGTTGTCCTACATAGTCCTTGTGCTGTTTGCAAAGTTTCCTCGAAATTTGATTCTTAGATCAGATGGCATTTAGCTACTTGGGTTGAACATGTCATTGCAAAGACCCGTGCAGAATGAGTTCCGTGTCTGGGAACATACCAAAATCCAGCAGAGCCACTTCATGATGTGCAAGTGTCAAAAGCTTGTGAAAGAACGTTTTTGGCCTTTGGTGCTTGCATGTTTATCGGAACTGAATCGTTGAAATCAGCCACTGTCACCTCATGTTGCTTCACAACAAGGTGCCAAGCCATGCCAATCCGCCTCAACTCATAAAGCTTCATATTCAGCTTTCATCCTTGCACTTTTGACGTCCTGACCCATGCCAATCGTCCGGGAATGACTGCTTCCTGGGAGGAAGTGCCCTTCTTGGCAGCTTTTGGGTACATGGCAAAGAACTCCGGCAGCAATGAATTGGCAGTGGGTGAAGCACACTGACAAAGGGTTTTACCCGGCAGAAGATGAACATGGACCCTGAAAACCATTGGTTTGTTGAGGAAAACTGTCTTTCAGGGTGCCATTCTTAGGGTCCATGTTAGTTTTCAGGAGTGTAGCTCGACTGGTTGATGATGTAAGTTGATTTGTTCACGTCTTCACTGTGTGAGTCACTTCTCAAGTCTCCGTGTGTCTCTTGGTCATTTTGAGCCAAAATATCAGGTGTACATGGCTATGTGGCCATGTGTATGTATGTATCAACACCTATGGCATCGTGTGCTCGATGGACAACTGCCCCAACACTGCTAGTTGTGATGCAGACTCCTCAGATGCAACTGGGTCTGTGCCGACGCCTCAGGGACAAGACCACTTGGGAAGAGGCGGGGTCAGCTTCTGTCCGTGAAGATGTTGTCTCACTTCTTGGCAATGATTCCTTAAAGAGATGCACTTTCGTCAAGGCGAACATTGTTGTTGGTCATGGTTATGGTATGGCGAGAGGCAAGTGGTCTTGTCAATAATTACCCCCAAAAGACACTTCCCATTTTTCCACAGCATGCTTATGTAGTTGCATGGGTGGATGATCTCAGCATCAACTTCAGAGAAGACGAAATGGCCCATATATATCAAGGACTTCCAGGGGTCTTAGTTCATCTTGTTTCTAGACCTCGGTGGCCCGTTGTGTTTGGCCAAAACAGATTGATGTGGAAGACGTCGCTCGAGCCAATTGACACTGGTGCCCACCTTCAGGGGAAGAAGGTGCCCACCTTGACCTTGAATTTGGACGAGCACTTTGAACAGGCTGGGGCAGGACGTGAGAGCTATGCCATGAAATGAGGTCCTCACACACAGGTCATAGGTGTAAGTGAGTCATGGTCAGTCTCTTATGCAATTCAGCCTGTCAACATCATCGTCATGAGGGACAAGGTGGGGTTCAATGTGGCTGGCTTGTATATAAAACCTTATGAAGCATAACTTGAAGCAGGAAATTGAAGGTCATGGGTTGTGACCTGCTAAGTCCCTTGGACAGGTCAGTCTTGCCTGATCGTGTTTCAGGGACATGCAGTGTATGTTTTCAATGATGACACGGCAAGAGCATAGCGTCAGTCAGTGATTTCCACGTCAGTCAGTCAGTGACCTTTAATGCAGGTAGAAGACCTTGGCTGATTGAACAGTATGGCGAAGAGTCGGCACAACTGCATAGGTTGAACAAGGGTGAAACGAGACCTCATCTTACAAAGTTTGTGCAGGTACGTGACTTTGGCGTCCCAAAGTCATATCGCGACACAATGTAAAGGTCTTCGTTGGGCAATGCCTTCCAAAGTGGCCATTGACCCCCTGCTACAATTGAATGCGTGCTATACAAGAGACCAGGAGGAAACCTAGGGGAAGCGAGAAGATGTGTTGTATTCTCTTAGAAACAGGGAGTGACACACACACACACACATACACAGACACACACACACACTGAGAAGAAGTGATGGCTTTTGTGTCAAGCTCAGTCCTAGGTGAGTAATCGAGATTTTAGATTTCTTGATATGAACTGACAGCACGAGGCAGGACACCTTTGTTTTGCAGACCAACCTCACATCACCAAAGATTACAAGACTGGTGGAGAGGTTCTGCCAATGGCCAGGCATCTTCCATGAATAAGAAAAATCGCTTTTAGATTGGAGGCCATCGCTATTGAAATTGGAAAGAAAACATGCCTATCAGATCTCTCCCCCTGATGTGGTGCAACATCTAAGCTCCACAGGCCGGCTGCACGTGGTATATCATCAAGCCCATCTCCTCAGACCAATTTGTCAGATTTTGCAAGATGGTTACTAGGTGTTCACTATACATAGGATATAGGATCTTCCAAGAAGACGGAAACATGTTCATCATGTTTGCCATGATCTTCCTGATGTTTGCCTTGTTTGGATCGTCCGACTGGGTGGACCGGATGGCACCGCCTAGGTGCTGTTTGGAAGTGCCTGGAGACAGCGAGGCGGAGTGTCCCTCGAGCCTCTCGAGTCGATGACGTGTCTTGAGTTCCTCTGAGTGGGCTGAGGCCCATGTTATATGAGTCATATGAGTCATATGACATGTCTTGCTTACGACAATGTCTACATCATAGACTTGAGCGCCTCATTTTTTCTTTTGGAATAGGCTAGGCAAACAGTGGCGTCAGGAAGCTAGCAGCTAGCATAACAACTACAGACTTTGGCACAGAGCTAGGTGCTAATACACCACAGCTTTTGGGGCATTCTATGGCTCCCGCGTGTTGCAAAAAGACAGGTTTCTCCTGTTGTGTCTTCAAGGCAGATACACCCACTCCGCGCTGTCTCAGGCAGAAAGTCTCACTTGGGAGGTGCGCACTTGTGGTAGCGGGGCAATAGGGAGGCAACTCAGATGTGTTTCAACAAAAAAACACAAGTCACATTGTTGGAGTTTGTATCTTCTTCAGACAAGTTCGTTTAGGAAAGTGACTCTGTGGGAAGTAATACATTTGTTGGATTCTCTTGGAATCAGTTTGGTTGCAACTGACCCTGTAGAAAAGAGCTTGCGATAAATGTTTTTGCAGCAGACATGGCATTGCTTGCCGTTGGAGATGCTTAGTGTAGATTACGACAGACAAAGTGCACGGACTCTCTCCATCCAATGGGGACATCAGGAAGTTGTTGGCAAGAATGAGAAAGTGTTTATGCGGCAGGGCCCATTCTTCTATCATTCTTGAGTCACTTCAAACCGTAACAAGAAGCTACTATAGGAACAAGTGCATCGCTACTAGGAACAAGGGCATCGCTACTAGGAACAAGGGCATCGCTACTAGGAACAAGGGCATTACTACTAGGAGCAAATAGATAGTAGGAACAAGAAGCTATTAGGAGCAAAGGGCATCGCTACTAGGAGCAAGGATGCTACTAGTAGCTCCTGGCATCGCTACTAGTAGCAAGAAGCTACTAGGGGCTCCTGGCCTTACTACTAGGAACAAGAAGCTAATTCAGAAATGCTACTTTTGATTTTGGAGGTCGCACAATGTTCGATCACGCTGCGAGGCTCCTCGGAGGTTGCACCACTTGAGGATGGAGTTGCATGACCGGATGAAGTACTACATGGAGGCCTCAAGCAGCTTCCATGTGCACATGTGGACTGCCTCCATGAAAACTGTTCTCCTTCCAAAGGGCTTTCACTTGTGGTGTCATCCAGCACTCGGAGTTCGCTTTGAGTAAGGGGGTTGTCTCACCAGGCCGGGGTTTTCTACTTGCTGGTTCGGCGAGCTGTCTTGCTGAAAGGACCAAGCGAGGCCTAAACGCCTTCGCACCGATTCGCACCGCTTGAGGAAGCCTTCTACGCCCGCGTCTTCAACGAGACGCCCTTTGCGAGGCGCGGGTCGTGCGACCCTCGCGCTCGTTCAAAGGAAGATCAAGTCTGCCAAAGACGAGCCGAACGAAGACGAACAAGGAGTTGTTTGACATAACAAATCCACAGGCTGCAAGGCTGTCAACGTCGTAATGTCCACTTGAGCCACGCTGATCGACTGTGGGTTTTAACTTCGGTGAGATTCAGGGTCAGTGAACTCCCAAGGTTCAATTAACTTTAAGCTATACCCATAAAATCGCCAACCATTTGGCCAATTGACTGTTACTCCAAATAACATGCACATCAGAGATTCGCGGTATATTCCACAAGGTTGTTTGAGGAGCCCTTTGGGGTTTAGGTTTGACACCTTGGTTTCTTTTTTTTATGGTTCTTCTCACGCTTGGTTCATATGTCCCACGTGCACAGAAAGACCATCATACAAGGACTACTAAGGAAATCTAAGCAATCCACATATTTAGGAATAGAATCCACAGGTTTGATCTGAAGATCAACTAATCTCCAAGCCCTATTCAGAACTCACATGAAGATCCAAGTACAAAATATCGGTTAATTAGGGTGATTGGGATTACATACCCTGCTTCACTAGGTTGCGCGGATTCATAGTGACCTGCATGGTACATTCCTGTTACACTGGACTCCGGACTCCTCTCCTTGACATTTGCCAGGCATATGGGCCTTCCCGGAACCACGGTGAGATGGCTCAGTGACTGATGACTCACGCTTTGTCATGGCCATTTGTGAAGGATGCTTGCCATGCCGGTATGTTTCCTCTTTGTCTATTAAAGGGATTCATGTTCATGTGTTGATCCCTAAGGCTCGACTAAAGGCTTGGCTGACCACGCTTTCGAATGCCATCAACAAGCAGGAGGTGCACGTGCGAACCGGGAGAAGGGACCCCGTTTTGTGTTCTTCTTTCAAAAGGCTTTCTTTGTATAGCATTTTTGTGTCCCAATAGTTGTTGTCTCTATAAAGCAATACGATTGGATGGGCTAATTTGAGACGGCTGAAATGGCAAGATAGTGCACTTGTTGGTTCGTCTCAGTTGACCACTGATGGTACGTAATGCACTGTGGCCAGACTTGGCGCAAATGTGTTGGCGAAAACTCCAACTTCAGCTTCCATGTTCATATCTCACAGCAACATCATCGCTTCCTGACGCTGACACTTCCAACTACGGATTAGCCATGTCCTGTCTGACTAAGGCTAAGGCCACCTTGGAGCTCATCCTAATTTGAGCCGCCTTGCCAAGGGCCACCCCACCTCACCTGGCCACCTGAAACGCTTCGTTTCTGCGGAGGTGCCCCCGATGGCCGCCGCGATCACTCTGCTCTTCCTGCACACGCCCTTGCCGGCGCCGTAGATTTCGCGGAGAGAATTCGTTGCCAAGAAGAAACTCAGTAGCTACATGGATCCACTGTAGATCACCTATATAAACAACTTCAACAAGAATGCCACCACCAACCAACCTTGGAGCCACACTTAAATGCTCAACACTCAACTGTGGGCGCCAATTGGCATCCTTGGAGTCAAAAGTTCACTCAAGCTGGCCAGCAAGGCCTTCAGATGAGCAAGAAGCTCCAGCTCCATTACCAGATCCTGTGCACCTTGGAGTTGTCTCCGAGGGATGCTGTCACACATTGGGACGATGGTTTGGTCTCCACTACGGTTTTTCTTTGTGCCGAAGTTTGCCACGTGTTTTTTTGTCGGGTTGTCAACCAAGTACAGGGTCAATGAGATTGCTTTCGCACACCTTTTGCAGGGTGAGGTCCTAGAATGAACTGCGGGCATTGTGCTGTGAACTTCCAAGATTGGATGGCCCTGAAGCCACCTGTGATTAGCTCAAGCTTTGCTTTTCCACGTTCCTTGTTTTGTCACTACGGAGTAATCCGCAAGCGGAGCAAGTCGCATGATCCGGATGATGTGAGTAATGCGCATTGATACGCATGTTTGGATAGGGACGGGCTCAATGTCTGATAGGGCCAGGAAAGGTGGATAGGTCCACACATTTGACCTGCGTGAAGCATGGCTGATGCCTGGAGATATCGAGAAGACTCCGAGCCGAGCTGCCCAGCTGAGGAAACCGCCCAGGCCGAGTCTGGTGATGGCCATCTGAAGTGACAACAAGGAGCGCTATTAGGGGCGCTCCTGGCCTTACTACTAGGAGCAAGAGGGCGCTACTAGGAGCAAAGGGCATCGCATCTCATGCATGGCGGCTTTGGCTCACAAGGTTTGAACAAGTCAAATGATGGCAGTGCTGAACCATTCTTCCCAGGACCTAGCTTTGGCGTGAAGCATGAATCTCTTGCAGACAGAAGGAATTTGCAAAAAAGCCACCTGGGCTATCCATAGACACATTTGTATCCTGCTTGTCGCCCGCACGGTTCTTTTCTCTGAGAAGTTTCATGGCAAGACTCACGATCCGGAGGACTTACATAACGAGACAAGTTCCATGAGATCAGCCAATGGATGTTTTCAAAAGCCTTTCTTTGGAGGCCATCGCTAGTAGGTTGGAGGCCATTGCCATATATTGCTATTGCTTGGTCCAAAGATGTTTTTGTTGAAACGAACCACCAAAGACCAGTCGGCCTTTCGAGGGACGGTCAAGCGCGGAAGTGGGACACCGACAACATCGCATTCGGTTAATGGACACAGAGTATTCCGGTATTTAACAGATTTTAACAGTAATTCTACTTGGTTTGGTGTCCTAACTTACTAAGTGTAGGGTTTCGTCTAAACAGTTTTGTAACATCAATATCAGTTTTGATGACATTGACGTATTTGGAGCTTTGCTAACGACTTACTTCAATTGACAATGCTTCATCATCACCTTGTCGTTGGGCGCGGGCCTGCCAGCGGAATCCAGAGTTGCGCCGCCCAAGCGCACGCCTCGGCAGCCAAGGTCCATCACTGGCCGCCATTCAAGAAACAGAACATACCCACTTCACAGACTATAGATCTGTAAAATTATCTCGAAAGTCTATCAAACGGGACGAGCGAAAGGACACTAGACGTTGGACTACGAAAGACCTGCAAAGCTCCAATTGTAGTGCCAAATGTCAAATTATAACTATATCCTCCGACCAACCACGGCTGGTGGCTGGTTTAGCAACTACTTGGAAGCCGTCCATTCCGATGAAAGAGCTTCGCAGACAAAACGAGTGATGAGCGTGGTGGACCATGTGCTGGTCAATGTCTTCACATAGGTTGCGCAGATTGCCTGGGCAACTGCTGGACTAACGTGGGGCCCTGGGGCCCAAAGTCACCGGTACCAAGTTGTTTTCACCAAGCGATGGCCTCCAACCTACTAGCTATGGCCTCCAACCTAGAAGCGATGGCCTCCAACCAAATTAGCCATTTCTATCTATTTTACTCTGTGCCTGAGAAGGCGTCTTCTGACCTGGTGTCAATCATGCACCAAAGCAACCATGCTCAGTTCGTGTCACGCACTGCGTCGCACTCTCACTTTCCCCACCCATCCAGCGGTTTCCTGTTGCGCTTCGCCTATGATGGCAGCTTCGCCACAGCAGACCAAAGAATGAACGAGATCAAGCAATCTTGGGTGTGATGAAAGGAGCAAATTAGTTGGTCATGTAAAGTGCGAAAGGACTCGGTGACCCGAAGGTGTTGTTTTCTTTTTATGCCTTTTCCCGTGCTTTCAGTTGTTTCCCATGCTCTGTTTGACCACCAGAGATCCTTGTTTTGTAGGTCTGGTGAGGATAAAGAACAGTGTTAGACATGCTGGCGTATTCTCATTGTTAAACGAGACCGTGTTTCCTATATTCTGGCGTATTACTCGGGTAGTAACAAGGACGCTACTAGTAACAAGTGCATCGCTTCTAGTAACAAGTGCCTTACTAGTAGTAACAAGAAGCTATTAGAAACAAGAAGCTACTAGTAGCTAGAATTCATGGTCTCTTGTTCGTTGAGGTCCATCAGGTCGAAAGTGTGGTCGAAAGACGGTCTCACCGGCCTGGGGTCAGATTGGAGGATCACCACGGTTGCGAACTTATTCAGACTCACAATGCTTCAACAGCTGTAGCCAAACTGCCGCTCCATCTGCAAAATGGCTCGCATCCAAATGGAGCTTGGCCATTTTTACCTTGAATCCAGGGCCAACGTGCCTGGCATGCGGCGATGGTGTACTTAAGCACGGGGATGTTGAGAACCAATGGCCTCCAACCTAATACTTCTAACCACTAGTAGCTTCTTGTTTCGAGTAGCTACTAGTAAGGCACTTGTTACTAGAAGCGATGCACTTGTTCCTAATAGCTTCTAGCTACTAGTAGCTTGTTGTTTCTATTAGCGTCCTTGTTACTACTAGTAAGGCACTTGTTACTAGAAGCGATGCACTTGTTCCTAATAGCTTCTAGCTACTAGTAGCTTCTTGTTCCTAGTAGTAGGGCCAGGAGCTCCTAGTATCTTCTTGTTACTAGTAACGATGGCCTCCAACCTAACCGCAAGGTTACTTGAATGTATACTTTGTGACTTTGCTGTTTTTGGATCCATCGCTTCCCACCGTTGATCGGTGCGACCTTTGTCGTCACGCCTCTAGGGCCGCTAGGTGCGGGCCAAGCTCGCCGTCGTAGAGACTCCTTCGGTGAAACATGCCGAGCGGAAGCTCCTAGTAGCGATGCCAGGAGCTACTGGTAGCTTCTTGTTACTACTAGTAAGGCACTTGTTACTAGAAGCGATGCACTTGTTCCTAGTAGCGTTCTTGTTACCAGTAGCGATGCCAGGAGCCCCTAGTAGCTTCTTGCTCCTAGTAGCGATGCCCTTTGCTCCTAGTAGCGTTCTTGCTCAAAGGATCGGTCTTTTCTTGTTGAATGTTTGGGTATAGCCTCAGCTGATCAGTTGACGGAGGTTGTGCAGGTATAGCCGATGTTCCGGTTAGATGATGTTAGATGTAATTAATCTTCATTTCAGGCAGGGGGTCCATGCACTCACTCAGCACTCTTGGTCGCGACCTGAGGTCCTTCGGCAGTATCACCACAAGGCCCCGAGCACTTTGTAGGTTTTTCTGATTGCTGTTTTCCAGTTTAGGCCTCCAACCTAATTGCAATGGTCCAACCTAATAGCCAATAGCGATGGCCTCCACCATGGGTCTGTTGTTTGAGCAAGTTTGGATGGCTGTGGTCTCCGACTTCACTGCTGCTTTGGTGCTGGGTGGCAAGCACGCCTCGCACGCCTCCGTTACGATGATAAGGGTATGTTGATTTCCGCCACGTCTCAATGTGAATGTGCTCATAAAGTCGCAATCTGAAACGAAAGGAGATGTTGTCATTGCTCCCCTGGCAGAGCGCCTAAGTCCAGTTTCGTCAGACCTTTGTTGGAAAGACTCAGCTCTCACAAAGCCAGCTAGCCTTTCGATCATCCTGCTGCACTAGTGGCCAGTACAGCCATCAGAAAAGCCCCTTCGATGCAGTCGGGGTTTGGAACCATTGCCTCGAAGTGTACTATATATGCCGCTAGATTAGACCCTTCTCAAAATCGTATAAGACCCTGCTGAAAAGGAGTTGAACAACGATTGAAACTCAATGATTGACTTTCTTAGCTACTGTAGATAGCGCACAACATCTTCAGTTCCAAATATATAAGACTTCTTGACAAACACCTCCCGAAGGGACTCGGATCTCCTGGCTCGCCTCCGGGAATGAGCTTGGCCTGGTTGGTAATTTTCTTTTGTCTTTCCGTTTCTTGCTTGTTCTTGTCTTACTTGTTATTTTTTTAGAGATCTTAATCTAGACCCGCTTCCTTCCTTTCTGCGTTTCTTGCAACCCCTCAACCAGTAGACACCATGAAGCTTTCTACAGCCCACTTCAGCTGCCGTTGTTTGAACAGGCACACCAAGAGGCACTCCACGACGGCCCAGCGCATCACCAGGTCAGCTCCTTTGGGATCCAGCATCGCTGTGTTTCATGGGTTAGTTGGTACAGGGTTATGATAAAGGTTTGTGATGGTACATTCTTGGAACTGGAGGAGAGAGGAGATCATGAACCATAAGTGATTGGTTGGTGTTGGTGTTGGTGTTGGTGTTGGTGTTGGTGTTGGTGTTGTGGTTGGTTGGTTGGTTGGTTGGTTGGTTGGTTGGTTGGTTGGTTGG